CGTCTTTGCGTGGACTACAGGGTTCTCAACAGTCAAACCATCAAAGATAAATATCCCATCCCCTTACTTGAGGATTTACTCGATGAACTCGGAGGAGCTAAATACTTTTCCAAGCTTGATCTCAGGGCAGGGTTTCATCAACTACGCATGTATCATGAGGATGTTTATAAGACAACATTTAAATCTCACTCAGGACACTATGAGTATTTGGTCATGCCGTTCGGACTCTCTAACGCCCCATGTACCTTTCAGAGTTTGATGAACCACGTTTTCCAGGATGTGGCAAGGAAGTTCGTGTTGGTCTTTTTCGACGAAATTCTTGTCTATAGTCCAGACTGGGATTCTCATTTGCAACACCTTCAAGTCGTGTTCAACATCTTGCAACAGAAGCAGCTATACTTGAAGGCCTCCGAATGTACTTTTGGCGCCACTGTAATTGAGTACCTGGGCCACTTCATCTCAGCAGAAGGGGTTAGCACTGATCCAGCTAAGATCGCAGCTATTACAAACTGGCCAACACCGTGGTTCATGCTGTGCAAACGTGGAATGCTTATCTTGCTCACCGTCCTTTCATCATCCGAACCGATCAGAAAAGCTTGAAATACATGGTGGAGCAAAGCAACAACACCTTTCCAGCATATGTGGCTTTCAAAACTGATGGGATACAACTTCGAGGTTAAGTATAAGCAAGGAAAAGAAAATGTAGTCGCTGATGCTTTGTCTCGCGTCACTGGTTTAGAGTTGCTTCACATTGCTCTATCTCAGTCACATCAGGGATTCTATGACTCTCTTAAGCTGCTGTAGCAACGTGATCCTCACTTGAGTAAGTTGATCTCGGACCTTAAAGCTGATGCAAATTCCCACCCTACTTATACGTTTGTGAATGAGGAGTTGCGAAGAAAAGGGAAGCTTGTAGTTGGGAATGACATCGATGTTAAGTCTCATATTTTTAAGTGGCTTTATGACTCTGCTGTTGGGGGACATTCAGGCAGGGACACGATACTCCACAGAATCAAATCCTTGTTCTATTGGCCAAAGATGACACTTGAAGTTCAGAATTATGTGCGCCATTGCGCCATATGCCAGCAGAACAAGTATGAGAACGTGGCTAAACCGTGTCTTCTCAACCCTCTTCCTATCCCACTTGGCGTTTGGGAATCTGTTAGCATGGATTTCATCGAGGGTCTTCCCTCTTCTTCTGATAAACACTGTATCTTGGTAGTTGTTGACCGGCTTAGTAAGAATGCGCATTTCCTTGCGCTCTCACACCCTTATACAGCTATTGAGGTGGCGCAGTTGTACTTGGATAATATTTTTAAGCTACATGATCTTCCCAAATATATTATCAGCGATAGGGATCTGACCTTTATGAGTCAAGTGTGGCAGGAACTTTTCCGAGTTCACGGGGTCAACCTGAAACACTCCACGGCCTACTATCTGCAGACCGACGAGCAAACGGAGATCACCAATAAAACACTTGAGACTTACCTTCGGTATATGACCTCTGAAGCGCCTCAGACATGGAGCAAATGGTTGCCTTTGGCAGAATGGTGGTACAATACAACCTATCACTCCGCCATTAAGTGTACTCCCTTTGAAGTTGTCTATGGACAACCACCCCCTACTCACTTACCCTACTTACCTGGTGAGAGTTCTTCAACCTTGGTGGACCGTAGCCTTCAGAAGCGTGAGGAGGTTATTTCGATGCTTAAGTTCCATCTCCTGCGCGCACAAAACAGGATGAAACAAGCTGCTGATTCTCACCGTTCACCACGTGAATTTGAGGTTGGCAACTATGTGTACTTAAAGCTCCAGCCTTATCGTCAGAATACTCTGAAGAAAAGACACAGCCCTCACAAGCTCTCACCACGCTACTACGGCCCTTTCCGTGTCTCTGATAGAGTTGGTTTGACTGCTTATAAGTTGGATCTTCCACCTGAAGCTGCTATTCACAACGTCTTCCATGTGAGTCAGCTTAAACTATGCCCAAACCCTCCTTCCACGGCGCCTGAGTTTCCACAGTTCTGGTCTGATTTGGGTACTGCTAAAGAGCCTGAGATGATTATGGAGACCAAGATGGTTAAGCGTCGCAATATGCATGTTACTAAGGTCCTGATTCAGTGGAAAGGAGACACTGCCGCAAATGCCACTTGGGAGTTTTACAAGGACTTTATTGCTAAGTATCCTCATTTCCATCCTTGAGGACAAGGATGATCTCAACCAAGGGGTATTGTGACAGCATTTTCCTAGCTTATATCCATTTCCACTTTTTATAATTGGTTTAATAATTGTAACCCGGTTTGCACACCGGTTAAGTGGTCACATGTTTAGACCAACAACGTCATTCCTTTTTATGTACAACTTTGGCATTTTGCTAGAAAGGTATCAAATCAGTACAATTCTTATCTTCTCTCTTTCTCTCTCATTCCCATTTGATCATTCATCTGAATCCTGTACTTAGAGGTGACGTTTCTTCATCTAATTCACCTTCTAGTCATTGATTCTCCTTTCTTTAAGCTCTTGGTGAGTTTATAGTTTGGATTTATCTTCTCTTAACATTTTCTCTGTCTCATATTACAGTGATTTGAGCAAGGCTGAGACGGGAAAGTCACTCCGAAAACACAACAATGGAGAAGTTGGAGTTTGATCGTATCCAAAGTATCAATTTTTATTTTTCTATAGGAGATTTGATTTTCATTTAATTTTCTAGGTTATTTGTTTTTTTTTAAAATAAAAATCTAGGTTATATTGGTATTGTTTTAGTTGGTTTTAGCTTCTAGAGCTTCAAGAATAGAGAATAAATATGCTATATGGTTGGAATACTTGCTGACCTTAAAGGTGCAAGATTTGCTATAAGAGAGATTCACTACTTCCGATTCCGTCGAGTCCACTTATATTGATAGTAATGGAGACTGACACCGAGTAAACAAAAGGAGCTCCAGCGCAGGTACCTACGAACTGATTTTGTTTTACTGCACTTCAAGTTTTAGTACTGTTTTTCTCTTCAATGATTTAACCTGTACAACTTTTTTCTTTTGATGATATTCAGATCCTTGGTCTGTGCAACACAAGAGCTCATATGAGGAACAGAGTCCACTTAGCAATCGACAAGTACAGTGAGCCTGGACTGAGTTTATTAGTTGTTGCAAGACGGACTCTACCTGAGAAAACAAAAAAATAAGCTCGGGTGGTCTTCTTCCCTGTTAATTCATTGGTGTGTTGCCTTTGTTTAGTCCTCCAAGACATGATAGTACATACACCATTAGAAGAGCTTCAGACCTAGGTGTCAACATCCAGATGATCATTGGTTAATATCTGTGTATTTACTACTATCTTTGGCTTTAATCTTATGTTGTATTTGTTTTCTTATAGTTGACCAAGCTATTTTCAAATAGACTCGACGCAGGGTCAGTGTGGGATCAGACATGTATACATCAGCATCAAATTCTCTACTTAATATTCACAAAGATGAAAGCCTAGCTGCTGTCTTCCCAGGTTAGTTAAGCAATTTTTTTTGTTCATGATCTTGCATTTTCTCTCTACAAAGATGTTTCGGTTTATCTTTCAGCCAAAGCACAAGTACAAGATTATGAAGAAGTTGCCTGAGTTAAAGCATATATGTTGAACGGCTCTGAATGTTCATGCTTTGAAAGTAGTCAATATTGGTATCATTGTTGCTGATGCTACAAGACGCTGCACGAAGCGCTTCTGATATTGTTCTCATCGAGCCTTGAGTGAGTCAGTGTTATCATCAGCGCAATTTTAACCACTTGAGCTATTTTCTAAAGAATGAAAAACTATACAGTCAGTGCTCTATTTTAAGCTATGGTTTAATACAGTAACTTTTCTCTCTCCAATCTCACTTTTCAGCTAGAAAATCAAATAAAACTTTGCAACTGGCATTGTCTTTGCAGGCTTCCTGGCTTTAGTGACCATCGTTTTCTCCTGCGTTGCTTACAGAACCAACTTCTTCCTGGTATATATCTAACATATTAACAATCTGTCTCTTTTATCAATCAACTTCCCCATCACACAAGCAAAACCCGCTTTGTTCTTTTCCTTAGATAACTTTCCATGTGAGAGAATTGAGAGGCAATGAACATGAAATGATGAGTGCTTTGTAATTCGGCAGTATTGTGTGCCGAGCTCTTATATTCATCACTTGATTAAGAGGCATGTATTTTCCAGAACGACCTTCTGATAGCATACATGTAAAGCATAAAGCATAGTTTTGTTTCTCTGGAGGAGTCTTCTCAATTCGGTACTGACCAGATGCATGAGTAGTCATTTTTGTATCTCTGGCGACTGTATATCAAGAACTTGCAAGTCGGATTTCAATACTCAGAGTATTATACATGTAACAATGGGTCATTGTTTGTTATTATGTTGTCCAGAATTTGAGTGTCATTTATTGAGTGACTACTTCTGAAAATATTTTACATCTATATGATTACTATTTTTGATTCTTTAGTTACAAATATTTATATCTTTTTTTTAATAAATTCAATTTTATATTGTTATTCTGATTTTTTTTTTTGAAACAGGTGGTAAACTTTAGTCTTAAAATACGCTTAGACTCATACTTTAATTGTTTTAAACAAATTTAACTTTGTGTTCACCAATAAAAGTGTATATATGTTTTAATTTACTCTTTGACAACTTATTACGTTTATGTTCACAAAAAAGTACAATTTAAAAATTGATAGTGTATGAAGCTTAACAAAAAAAAGATTAATCCTCCAAACCATAAATAATGAAATATTGAAATAAAAATAACAAAAAAAAAAAATAAATATATTTAAAAATAATTATCAAAAATTAAAACAAACTAAATATTGATCATATAAACCTTAATGTTCGAAGCATACCAAGCATTAGAACGAAACAAATAACTCACCATCAACATAAACCGTTTTAATACAAATCAAACCGACATATCAATCAACCTCAAATTCTTAACTAATGGTTTTCATTATCTTTCAGATATAACCATTGGGGTAATGGAATCTAATCTCACATACCATGACATGAGCATATACTCCGCCGAAAGGATCGCACAATCAGCATCCACATTTGTTCATACGGAGCTTGAACGTCTCACCAATTATGAAGAGAAGAGTGTACACATCATATTATATCTGACAGATTTCAATCCACATTCAACCCACAGAATTGTCGTCGACATTGCTACAACAAACCTCCATTCTGAGAAGAGAGCACCCTCACTAATGGAAGAAAATGAAATGTGCACAATATGCATGGAGAAGATTGTAACAGGTAATTCTACAAATGAACTGCAGTGCTACCATATATATCATCACCAATGCATTGTTGAATGGAATCGAATGAACATCAGATGCCCAACATGCCGGGCCACGATATTATAGACAACATGTTTCAATACTATAATAATTAATTTGTCACTTTTATACCATTAACAAAAAATAATTTCATATTTCCAATGTATTCGTTACAAATAAAAATCCGTTGTTTTAAACAAACAACAAGAAGAAATCCTTTGTCTTCATTATTCTCTTATAAATTTTCAATATGAAAAATAATACATATTGCGTTTAATACTATCTCAATTAAATAAAATTACTTATATCATATTTTTATAAAACTATTCATATCATCTGTCACAAAATTTAAACCGTTTTCCTAATTTACTAATCAGTACCTGACAAAGAAAAAGTTCAACGCCTATAACAATAATCTAAATTACATATCATGAAGACTACACCTATAAAAAAAAACAGAAATGATGACAAATATCTATTATGTACAAACAAAGAACTATTTGTAAAGTATAATCCACAAACAATACGAAACTTAATAACCGAGATCGTATGTAAAGTAGAACCCGCCCGTAGGGCGGGCCGGACCTAGTATAGAATATGCACAAGCTTGCGCTCTCTAGAATAAGGCTCTTTTGTCTTTTCTCATGTTGGCTAAAGAAAATATTTATCCATGATCCATAATTTCCTCTAGACGTAGACATTATCTACTTGGGAAAGTGTCTTAAAAGAGTTTAAGGTTCAGTTATTAAGTAACATAACACACACACCCAGAAGAATCAGTTAAAACCTGCTGAATGAGAAGGAAGAAGATGGTTCAAACGATAATCAGCCAAACACAAGCATGCCTAAAACTGTGGCTTAAATGACTATATCTGCTTACGATATAGAAGTCTAGACAATACTATCAGATGATTACTATTTCTCAGTTCAGAGAGTAACTCTTTTCCCGGTAGACTATCCAAACATAAGAAAATGAATAAATTGGACCCCGACAATATAGATCCTAACTGCGGTTACCTGAAGAAGCACTAAGATCAAGAAATGATCCTAAAATAGATAGCCATACCACAGACTGAGTAATGCTTACCTTTGCAAAGACTTCAATATAAGAAAAGCAATCATGGAGATGAGATTTGTTCTTCAAGATCCATGTTAATTCAAGTTACTTGGAACAAAAGCTGAAAGGGTATACGTGAAAAAGGGAAAGGAAGGATACTGGTAGCACCAGACAGCTGAATACTCTGTTCCAAATGCTTTACTCGTTCTTCATGTAACTCGCATGCTATGATTTTTCCTTGTCCTTTCATAAGAGCAGCGATATTAACATTTTTTGTTTCCTGGAGCTGAACTAAGCAAACAAGGTATACAATAAGCATATTCAACAATCATCATGACATATTGTTAAACCTATCCAAGATTTTAACTTGACTAACTAAACTAAACATCTAATATCACACATATGGAAATGTTAAATATGTAAAATACTCCTTATTCGCTTCTTAAAACTAAACAAAAAAAAAAGAGAATATGACCCCGCTTTAGACTGCATAAGTTACTACTACTTAATTGGCTCTAAGAAGTAGGAAGTGTAGGAATGATGGACCATCTCTACACAACAAAGTCTGCTTGACTTGAAAATTCAACAGCCTAATTAATATCAGAAAGTCTTTTATATCTTTCATTTCATTTCAGCCAACCATGTCTTTATCGTCTCAAAACACTTATCCCTTGAAACAAATCAAATTAAGAAAATAAATTGGTATTTTTTCTCAGCGATGGTAATTTGTGTACCGTAACTTAAGCCTAAGTCCTTGCACGAGAAGACTTATGAAAAGACTTGAAAGAAGACCAGGACAGAATAAATTAGATTAAAAAAAGAGTAGTCGTGGACCAAGACACAAGTCAACTACAGGTCCTTGTAAGACCTAAAGGTGATTTGATGCATCCATCTTCTTTATGTATCTGTACCTTAAACAAGTACACGTTTCTACATATTATATATTTATGCATTTACCTCGAAGCTTCCTTTCTAAAGTTAGTCTTCAAAACATATAGGCACTACTCACTTATTCTTTTGTATGCATGAATGGCTATGAATGATGCAGAGACAAACTTGGCGAGAAGTTTCAGCAATGATACTTACTCCGGTTTCCACCTTCCGGATCTGTACAAGTCAGATGAATGGATGGACGATGATCTTGTGTCTGCCGTTTCAGGGATGAATCATTCTTATGCTTATCAGACGAGTGATGATGCTCACGCTGCTTCCTTCTTCTCAGGTTCCTCTAGCAGTTTCAGCTACCCCAAATCTCCACGTACCAATGCTTCTGTTGCCTCTGCTACATCCACCGCTTCTGCCGGTAAGTTTCTCCTTTTTTTTCTGTGGAAATCATATAAGAAAGGATCATCCTGAAGGAAAATGGAATCATGATTCAAAGATCTGCCAACATATGTATACACTCCATGCTGATTTATACAATAGGACTTAAACCAAAGAACCATTCATTCTATGCTGAATCTGTTTTGTTTTGCTCTTTCCTATTGACTTATGCAAGAAAAACAGACTAAGAAAGAAAAGAAGAAAGTAAAAGAGAGAGTTGCATTCAAGACACAGTCTGATGTAGAAGTACTTGACGATGGGTTCAAGTGGAGGAAATACGGGAAGAAGATGGTGAAGAACAGCCCAAATCCCAGGTAGGGAACAACATTTTCTCGATTCTTAGTTATATCTTTTAAAATTCAACCATTTGATACTCCAACATTAAAGAAGCCACCAAATGTGAGAAAACAAAAGCACAAAATTTGCCTGGTAGAATTGAGCTGTTTTTAAGACATTGTGATCCGCCCTGATAACCTGAAAAACAAAAACACCAAAAGTACCTCTTGTTAATTGTAATGATTTTCATCTAATTTGCAGAAACTACTACAAATGTTCAGCTGATGGCTGTCCCGTGAAGAAAAGGGTTGAACGAGATGGAGATGATCCTAGCTTTGTGATAACAACTTATGAGGGCTTCCACAATCACTCAACCATGAACTAAGGTTCGTAAGAATTTTCTAAGCTTATGGTAAAGACGGCAAGAATACGTAGTCTGAGTAAAGATAGTGACACCAATACTATTCACGTTATATTTCTTATAAATGTATTCTTGAGACTGGTTTTCAATGGTTATTCTACTTATACTGCTTATCTAATACTCAATGTAAACTGGTTGACAAATTTTGAAAGATTTATGATATTCTGAGTCTGGAATACTTCTATAGCATCTTATTTTTGTTACAAGTGAGAAGCTTATCAATTCAAACATAAGCAGAAAATTACCAGACCATGTCCCAAACAACTCATGAACATGATTGCTTCGTACCAGCCTTGAACCTGCATATAGCATAATGAAGAATTCATGCACAAGGAACAGATAAAGCATCACATTTGACGATTTGAATCAATACCTGTAAACGCGCCATTGCAAATAATGACAGAGCGGCCACTTACCTTGAATTTACCCTTGATTTTCCTGGAGTGAGATGCAGACCAAGCTACATGTTTCTATGACCTCGAGTATGTGCACATCACAAAGATTCCTAAAGGCAGTATTTAGACTCAAGACAGAAAATCATATATGACTCACTGGGAAAATGTCATCAACCTTTATAAAAGAAAGAAGCTTAGATGAAAGACCAAGACCAAATTTTAGCAAATGGATGTATATTTACCAATCAAAATATTTCTCATACACATTCATATAGCTGATGACATCTGAGTCTACTTCTTTCAACTAGCTTTCACATCAAAATGACTTGCTCTTAAGCAGAGTGTGGAAACAACATATAAGATAATATGCCGATGGAAATGTTACTATCACAATCCTTTTGATATTTCATCTGAAATGATCACATCTGGATTTCTTGTTAGTGGAACAGAAGCAACAGAGCTAGACAAATCACCTTCCTGATTGTGCCTATCGATTGTTATACTCCACAATGTGTCCAAGTTCTTTCTGGTTGCTTGTGGGTTTGATACAATGATCGCCTTTGACTTAGGAGCTTGACAGTTGATGGTTTTACCAGTACCACTGGCAAGTAACCAGCAGGATCCAGACTCTTGTTGGGTTTTCGTACACCACGGATGGTCAACACCAGGCTCAGTTTTCAAACCCGCAAGACCAATGTTGGTGATTCTCCACAAATGTGTATCATTATTATCGAAGGATTCTTCTTGTGGATTTGAGGAAACCAAAGACCTTTCAACTTGGACCAGAGCAAGCATAGATGCACCGACAGGTTCATTATGTCGAAATGGATCTCTAAGCAACACTCGAAGAGCAAGTGTCAACTTGTTCCCGGAGGTATTGACCTTTCCATTAGAAGCTTGATCTTGATAGGCATGGTGGGTTGACGCTTTTTCTCTAATATGATTGCCGGTTTCAACTCCAGTGTTTAACGTTCCATGGTCAAGCCTTAACCACTCATCCAACTTTACCGAAAAACTAATCAACTCTAAAGCCTCAGACTGATCCATGGGTTTTGGTGCAGTAACTGATGGTGGATCTTGGTCTGACATACTGTATTGAATCCTTAATCCTTCTACCGAAAGAACTTCTATCCCATCAATAGCTAAGGACGTAAGAGCGTCAAGAGGTACATAACCTGAGCACATATTGGATCCAAAGACCCCAAAAATTTCTTGTGAAAGAAACGTATCCAGCTGTCCTGATGGTTTCATAGCCATGTCAGCTTTACCCTTGTCAGAACAATCATGTACAATTCTGCAAATCATAAACTAAGTAACTTTAGGATAGATATGGTAAATAGGAAAGATAACGAATCAACATGGTAGAAAGCATCTGAACCTCTCAAATTTTGTGTCCTCGATAACTTCATGTATTGTCTTCCCCATGATATCTTCCAAAGGCATTAATGCATTAATTTCAGAACAAAGCCCTTCGATTCCGGAAGCTGCCAAACTTTGGAGTATTTCAAGAACATCAGAACCTAATTCTGGTACTAATACCACAGGAACTGAAACTTCCATGATCAGACGTGATGCATCCTTACACTTTCTGAACAGTGACGGACTCATGGACCGGATACACCCTCCTCCTTTCGTCCAAACAAAAGGACCAATATCATCTCCAAGATGCGGCAAATCTGATCCCTCGTCAACTGGAAGCTCTATGGGACTTCCAAACCCATCAGAGCAAACACAGAGAGAGTCGTTAAAACTGTTGTCATCTAAATCCCACTCTCGCATTAAAGTTTCAGTTTCCAAGTCTTCAAGAACCTTAGCATTCCTTCTGCTTATTAACAGCTGAGACTTTCCTTCAAACTTGGTTTCACTCACAGAACTTGAGGAGAACGAGAAATCATTCGGTTCCTCGTCAGACACATATTCTGCTCCCCCACCTAAATCTAAGAGACAGTTTCCAGAAACCAGAGCCTCCTTCTCAAACTCTCGAAGCAGATATTCACGAGGAGATGTAGGTTCACAATCTGAGGTATAAACATAAGAACGTTCCTCAAGTTCAAGCATGTTCAGAAACTCATTAGCTACAGATTCAGTGATGTCATCCAAGCTTCGTGACTTCGTTAATATTTTTGCAGATTTGTAACTAGATTTAGCTTCCAGGAAATTTTCTTCCTCAGCACAATCATCAATAGCTGATGAAGATTTAATCTCAACATGGCTACTGAAAGCAGACTTAGGTTCTCCACTTTTTAGCTCAGCCACTGATAACTGATGATCAATAAAACAGGGTTCATCCAAAAAGGCTTCATCATCATCTTCATCTTTAAGTAACTCATGGACATCAATAATTTCAATTTCCGAGGACTCCGTCTTTGAATCAGTTCTTTCTTCCATTCTGGATCTTTCTTGCTTAAATACCTCTACTCCTTTTCCAGTGTTGTCATCTGCCGGCTTATCAGTCTCCACACCTTTCTCTACCTTAGTTTTCTCCAGATGGTCATACTCGATATCAATTTCTGTTGATGTTTCCGTGTTTTGCTCGCTGAGTTTTTCATACAGAAGATCAACTGACCTTGAAAGATCCAAACTCAAATTCGGCGTGAGTTGATGGGAGAACTTTCCATCATCAAGCGGTGAAGATCTACGCTCCATACTCGGAACACTACCAACTCTCCTCAGCATCACATCACCACCAGTTGAATCACAGACAGAGCTAGTAACGACCGAGTAATCAAAACCAAGATTCAACACAGCAGAATCCGCCAAACCAGATAGCTTGAAACTCGTGTTCCACTTCCTCGTACTCCTTCCACCTTCCATCTCCTCCATAGACAAAGGCAAGATCCTGGTGAGATCAACCCAATGCTTCCCAAGAACAAGCCAAGAGGCATCAACAGGAGAGACACAGACCAAGAAAAGCTTCTGATCATATCTCCCATGTTTCCTACCGTAGACTAAACATCTATGCGTCAAGATCTCATCAAACTCTACAGTTCCTTGCGAAACATTTGAAGGTTGAGTAGACATAACCACTTCATCTTTCCTCTTCCATTGCACAACTAGTTTAGTACCATCCAAATTCTCAGGCAAGCCTTCAATGGAATGAACATGAAGATGAAAACAAACATCAAACCTACGCTGACCCAAATGAGCTATAGCTTTTAAAGGTTTCTTCCAATCCCATGACACTGAAGATTTCTTCTTCTTACTCTCTGTGGCAACAGATCTAGATCGGACAGGAGGCAACGAAAGCAGTGGCTTTTGAGGTTTGTTGTTCAAGTAAAGAGCTTTACTTACTTCCTTGATGTCTCTCAAAAGCTGCCCATTGTATGAATCCTCTCTATCATTAGAGGACATTGCTTGATCAAGTCATACACTCTAGCAAAACCCTAAAAACGTCAAATTTAGAAATTAAAGTTAGTAACTTTGAATGAAACAATCACTGAAAGATTAAAACTTTGAAATCTGAATCTAAAGAGACTTGCTTTGTGGTACTATTAGAAGCAAAGAATCTAACTTTGAAAGAAGCAGACAAAAAGCTCTCGCTGTTGTTCTTACCGGTTTTTGAAACGAGACAATCAGAGATCTTGTCGGGATTTCAAAAGAATAGAAAATCTTGTTCACGGGAAAAGCGTGAGTGAATTTAATGCTTGGTTTTCGGAGGTAGGGCTTGTTCGTATGATTTGGTGGGTCCAAAGAGAGTGTGTGTGTTATTGTTGTTGGTGATGCAGTGACGTAACAATGGAGGAAGATAGAAGATGAAATTCACAAGGCATGAAGCTAAGGCGAGAAAACTGTGCGTTGTTTTTATATTTCTGCTTTCTCATAACAAACGGCATGCATTTGTTATTCTACAGTTCAGTGATGACAGCACGAAGTTGCCATCAAGGAAATGTTCCTCGTGAATCGATCTTTGAACTAATTTACCTTTTTATTCCTAATCGACGTGTTTAACCTTTTTTTTTTTTAATTCCTACTCACTTGCTAAAATACGTCCATGTTGCTAAAATAAGGTTATTACTGGTCTCTCAAATTTTGCTGTCATAGAAAGATTATCTCGTTACTAGAAAAATAAACTATACTAGGTGTTTTGTCCGCACATGCGGGCTTAATTATATTTAAGTTAATTAAAAAATTATCAAAATAAATGATTATTTGCATTCAAATAATTCGACCTAAAACATTAAATTTTTTTACATTGATAAAGTTATTCACAAATTAAAAAAAAATCTATGTTTTCCTTTAAAATTTTGAAAAATCTAAAGTCTATTTCATTTCTTCGTAGTTGAGAAAAAATATAGAAATCTATCTTTCAATTTGAAAAATTGAATCGATAAATATACATTCAAAAATTGATCTTACAGAAAGAATAAAATTAGTTTGGATAATAATACAATATATTTGAATTTATTTTTGTTAAACACGTATTTTCTTTCTTTTTGAATGATCTTTTATTTTGTATGATTAATTCATGTTTAAGGTTTAACTATATAAAATATAAACATAAATTTAATTTAACGTGTGAGTTCAGAGACGAAAAATAACTTCACGAATATTTATCATTATATTATATTATTATATGATTTTAATTTGAAAATAATTACGTATTCTACTTTTTCAATTTCTCTTTTGAGTTATATACAATTAAAAATTTTACTTTATGAATATTTATTTATGTGTTTTCTGTTTTTGAATTTTTTTATCAAATTCATTTATTAATGAGTATAAATTCATTTTTTCTTATTATAAATGAATTGCCTAAAGCGAACATAGTACTACACCACTCCATATGAATTATATATTTTATGGCTAGAGTATGACTGGCGCTCAATTTGTAGTACTCTAGGTTCCAGTTCATAGATAAATTCGTTTTTATTTTATGGCGGATTTATATATTTTATTCATTATATTATATTATTATATTCTTTTAATATGAAAATAATTACGTATTATAAGTTTTTCAATTTTCTCTTTTCAGTTATGTACAATTAAAAAGTTTCTTTATGAACATTTAATTATTTATGTGTTTTCTGTTTTTGATTTTTTATTAAAATAAATTTTCCGGATAACAACACAATATATATAGGAATTATCTTTTTTCTTTTTAAATATATATTTTGATTATGGATAATTCTTATCATTATTATTAATTTAAATCATTTATCTAATCAAATAAATATCAATTTCGTTTTTATTTTATGTCTAATTTATATATTTTATTCATTAAGGGTATAAACGATATTAACCACTCCAACTTTTAACGTGAGAGCTCCGTTGCGAAAAATCACTTCGCAAATAATAGTATAGATTACACCCCTGTTCGGGAATACGATAGGTGCTAGTCAGACCTCCGCATCGACTTATCAAAAAATCAGAGACTAATCAAAGATTAATTAAAATCTAGTTTTAGACATAATTTAATATATTTTTAATATGTTTAATTTATTTTAAACATGACAATACAAGTTTTTAGATATAATTATATAATTTGTTTATAGATAAATATTTCCATTACACATCTAATTTTAAAACTACAAAAACTTTCAATTCATGAGATAAACAAAAATAGATTGTCTTGATCTTCAGAACATACAAAATACAAAAAAAAAAAATTCTAAATTTCCATTTTTGTGTCTTCAGATTAAGTAATCACCACAAATTTGATCAAGTAATCACCATAAATTTGGAAGATGTGTTAGGAGTTAGACCTTATAACATATACTTGCAACAATTTGCATCAAATATGAAATTAGATAATGACAAGTAAAAATATATACAACAACCAAGATTTATAAAAAGAGACAACATTATAGAAACAAAGAGAACTAAGACATGTAACATAACATACTATCTTTAAGTAAATAAAACTTATTAACCTTACTAAGTAGATTGTGAATCACGGAAGATGGGATTATCTTCATATACATCAGGTTCAAACTCCATGTCCACAACATATTCCTTTTCTTCTTCAGATTCAAAGTCATCATCATATAAATCTCTTATCTTTGGAGCCTGGGTTACAAGTAGTAAATTAAGACCACTGTCTATTTCTTTTACACGACCCACAAGCCAATTTCCTACTTACCATCATCGAATATCACATCAGCATTTTGCTCTAATCTTTTTCTGCTTCTTAAACATCTTTGCATTGAACTAAACATACACTAAGCTATTCAAGCGATTGACATCTAGCTTATTTTTCTTTTTTTTTCATGTGAATCTGGAATTAAAAAGAAGTGAGTTTCAGAAACAATTTCAGACTCCTAAAGGAAAATAAATAATAAACTAACCCTTTCAAAGCAACTCTAGTTTCTTTCACATCCAAAAGAACTTGACGTCAAAACAAGGATCCTTGTGGCCATTTTTTGAAGAATTGGTGTACCACATGCATATGTTGACCACCAGTTCCTTAATATCAAATCATTCATATATGATGAATAAAGATCAAAAGTTAATGAAAGACAAGTGATGTGAACTTACAAACCTGGATCAAACTTGTCATCTTTAGTCTCGCATCTTTTTAGTGCTAAAGTCCTACCAAATAGGTCACTTTTGTTCTTATAAAGATTAAGTTCCTGATTGACAACTTTATTTTGTTTCTCAAAGTCGCCATGATAGAAAGTTTCTACACAAGCTATGAATCATTCCGTGACCTCAAAGTCACTTTGAAATTCTGGATCTTTGTAGAAATAATATGGATTGAGGAAATAGGCAGAAACATGCAAAGGACAATCTAACCTATCTTTCATTTGCTCATCAATGATTCAAAAGATAGGTTGGTAGTTCTTCTCCAAATGATTTGAAGCTTCTTTAATGGATTTCTTAGCTTCGACAATCTCACCATAAATGAATCCAAGAAAAAGTACCTTCTCCCCCATCAGCCAACCTTAGAACCTTCACCAGAGGGCTGGAGATCTTCAAGAAAAGTGTCACACTACTCCAAAACCCATGACTCATAATCGTATCAAAGGCATTCTTTCCCTTCAGGCACTTTGAATGCTTACAGCTGTGCCATTAATCATTGCCCAACATGCTCATCAGTTGTGACTTCTTGTCGTACATGCTTTGCAAATTTAGAAAACAAGTTGCAAACTTTGTTGCTCCTGGTCTTACGATATCTATATTATTTGTATATGTTCTCATCATGGACAATTTTGTATAATGAGCATATACAAAGATCCTAACAGCTTTTGCTTGGTCAATTACCTTTGCATACCATGAAGCTTGGAAATTCCCTCAAGCATCAGATCTAAAGTGTGAGCAGCACAACCTGTCCAAAATATCCTTGGTCTCTTTTGTTTTAGCATCTTTGCAGCAGTTACATTGTTTGTAGCATTATCAGTGACCACTTGCACTATCTGTTCAGCTCTTATATCTTTAATCCATTGGTCAATGTAACTGAATATGTACTCACCCGTATGATAATCCTTAGAGGTGTCTTTTGATGAAAGAAAATATGTACTTCCCCTTGGTTTGACACCTAAATTCATTAATATGCTTCTTCATTTCATATCACTCCATGCATCTGCCATCACTGAGCAGCATTCTTTCTCCCATTCTTCTTCTAGACTCGTCAATAGTTATTTGGTCCTTTGTTGTTCGTCATTTAACAACGGTCTTCTAAGCTGATACTGACTCGGAGGCACCCAACCAGACCCAAACTGTCCCAACACTTCACAAAATATCCTCAAAATGTTATTGTTAATGGCGTTGAAAGCAACATTTGCCTCATACATCCATCTAGCACAATATTGATGGATAGCATGTGTCTTCTCCTTAGATATGGCATCATGGATGTTTTGTTGTTGTGTTTGTGCAGCCAAATAAGTTACAAGGTTAATAGGTTGCAAACTGATCAATGGGACTTTGGAAGTGAGGAATTTTACGAGTTCCCAACTCTGTTTCTAATTCCTTGACAAATGTGTCCTTGTATATGTTTACCTCTGTCCTTAGTGATTGATCATGTTTCCTCTTTAAATCCTTCTTCTCTTTTTCACCAAGAATTACTTGCCTGCACTTCTCTTGGTCTGCTTTAAATGATACAGAGCATATTGAGACATCTCCTTATGATAAAAAATGTGTTCTTTCATTCTACGAACACTACCAGAAAACTGCTTTCCATACAATTTGCATTTGACCTTGTCTGGATTTTCTGGATCACATAAGACTCCAAATTCCCATCCCACATCATATGAATTTCGTTTAAGAGGATGAGGTGCATCTGTTGGTGGATTATCTATTCTTTTTAGCTTTAAAAAGAATTGAAATGTAATTTATTTAGGACATACTAGTTTCAGAACTCAAATTCTCACAAAACAATAAAATGAATAACTTAACTACATTTACAAAATAATTTA